AGCCGGCAGAGGATTCCGCTTGGTCTTAAAGCCTCCCTGCAACGGCTATGTTCACAAATCAAACACTTGTCAAAAAAGAATGATTAATTCTCAATTTAGAGTTTGTTATTCGTATGGTCTAGGTGTTCATACGGCATATGCCTTAAATACGGGACAAACGTTCCGTATAGCTTTCATACGGAATGCTTCTTTGATGCCTTAAATACGGGACAATTCTGTATTATACGGAACGGTTGGCAACCCTACATATGACTACACTCCATCTAAACTATTTTAAACGGCATTTGTTCCTTCTTGTGTAGGTATTATTGTGCTTGCAGTTTGTATGGTCGCTTATTACTTGAGATAAGGGAAAATAGCTAGTGGAAAGTCTTAAAATCTTGGTGGAACTGGTGAGCAGTTACAGGATCTAAGATACACTCCTAGGCCTGTCACGATAACAACTTTTTGTTGTGCGATATATTGCCCCAGAAATAATTGCGATAAGCAATATTATTGTCATTTTAAAGACCATTTTATGCCACTGAATATATAATCATAATGTAACAGCATAATAATGCAAGAAGACCTACACACTTCCAAATGACAACAAACTTTTAATTTTTAAGAGTATTTAGATCATCAAAATATTCGCTTAAAAAACCTGAATAAATATTAAATAAACATTTTCTAACTAAAAAGTAGAAAAAAAGAAAAATGCACAAAGAACTTGTATGGAGATTTTTCCATCTACAGATTTTTCCCTGACCTTCTTTTCTCTGTAAATTAAGGGTGCACACTATTGCTGAAAAACACAATCACTACTTAGAAGTCCGTATGCACATTTTTAAATTTGAACTAGCACCAACTACACCACATTATGTACGAGAAGCTGCAAAATACAGGCGCAAGTGGAATGTACAAAACATGGTGACATTAATTTTTAAGTAAATATAATGGGCGATATATTGCGTCACCAAAAATTATTGAGGTCATGTACATATATTGCGCGATAAGTCGATATATTGATTATTGCGACAGGCCTATACACTCCCTTATAGATTGATATAATTTAAATTTTAAAAATATTTTGGGTTAATAAGAAGCTCAGAACATGTTATGCTTCAACCACCTATATAACTAACCTGATTAAGCACATCTGCCTGATACCAGAGGTTTCATGATCAGGTTTGAGCACCACAGATCTAAACTGACTGGATGGCCCCAGCTCTTACATGGGGCCGATGATCTGGTCTGTGTGTGTGCTGTGATATGAGTGGGGTGTGTGTATGTGTATTGAGGGGCCACAGATGAATATCTCTGTTGCGTTTGAGTGTCAGAGTTGGTTCATTGTCACTGAAAAAGTGTCTCAGAGGGAAGAACATATAAACAAGCTTTACTGTATACATTGCTGTTTAATACGCAATTTTGCATAATAGATTGAAAATGTTTGACAGATGCAAATAAAATAATCTGTAAGCTGTAAAATAATCAGGGCGTTTTTAAAATGTTGGTATATTTAGGTAAAATTAATCGGGGCATGTTTTCAATGCTGTTTTTCACTAAATGAACACAAGGAAATGTGTTTCAGAAAAGTGTCTCCGAAGGAAGAATGCATACAATTCTTTGTAAGACAATTGATCATATATACAGACCGATAGTAATAATAGAGGCCATTACAGAACCATTATATTTAAGTGTGTAGGGCTGGGTTATATATTAAAAGATATCTGATTTGATTATTTGTTTGTGTCATTACTCAAAAATGTACAAAGAATGGTTGTTCATTGCTATGTTTTGTAATATTGATGTTATAATAATGGAAAATGCATAAACGTATTTCTTGTGTTCATTTAGCGAAAAACGGAACAGGAAAACGTGCTTTATTTTAACCTAAATTTTATAATATTTTGCATCTGTCAAGCATTTTTTATTCATTTTAATCAAAAAAAGGTTAAAGAAGGCTATACATTAAATAATATTGTTCCATGAAGAACTTTTAGTATCTATGGAATCTTCCCATTGCACAAAAGGTTCTTCAGACTATTAAAATGTTCTTCACACTAATAAAAAAAAATGGTTCTTTTAAGAACTGTTCACTGAAACGTTCTTAGGGAAACCCAAAATTGTTCTTCTATGGCATCTCTGATTGCACTGATGAAAATAATTAGATTTTAATGACACCATTTACACCTGCAACTGTAATTAGAGGTTTACAAAATCTTTTGTGAATAATTTGTATGAGGGCCTAGAAAAGCAGCATTTTCCGGTCTCTGCTGTCTCAGTGCTTCGGCCTTCTGTACTGATGAACCACAGGGAGAGAAACGTCCACACATCTAGAAATAGACTGGGGATATGGTTTATGCATTATTGGAGCTGTATAGGTTATATGTTAGTCTTTATTTTGCAGACCACATAAACCAAGCTCAAAAGGTCTGCAGGCGGTCTTTTAGATGTTTTGAACAGCTGTTAATATTTCCTCATTTCAAATGCCAAGACTTGTACGCATGTGTTTACATGACCTTTTTTATGTGTTTGTCAGCCCAGATTTTACTACATTCCTCTAAAGCCACATTAAGTGCTCTTCTTCTTGTAATTGTCTCTTTTTTTTTTCTTTTCTTTTTTTCACTCTCGTCCTCTGGTGTGAAAACCCTGTTTATGTGGTTGGGTTTTAACTCTTGGCTGAACGTCACTGTGTGATTTCCTTCATCATGTGGGATGGTTCTGCATTCATTCACTTCATTTACTCTAAGCCCTGTTGATCAAAGTCTGATTTGTTGTGGAAGATGTTCCACTGATGTGGTCAGTAATTGGCTTTAATGTGGTAAAATAGGAAAACAATGGGTTATTTGTACCACTTTCCATGAATGCATACTGTGCCAAAGCAGCTTTTCTGTTTTCAGATGTTCCAGTTGTTATATTAATTTCTTTACAATTTTTTTGGCTAAATGGTGATGATAACTCTTCCGTGATATACGATACTCTCTATCTCTTGTCTAGTGTGTTAGGTCATTCTGATAAGCTTTCAACCAGTACTGTCAATCTGATGATCACATCTGTGACTTGAATGCTCACTGTCCTTAACCAGACCTTGCTGTGTTTGTGTGTTCCAGTCTCCCACAGTCAGATCACTCGCCTCTACAGCCGCTTTCACAGTCTCGATAAAGGAGAGAACGGAGCGCTCAGGTACGACATGCACTGTGTTAGATGATTTTAGTAATAATGAACTTTTAACGGTGAGCTGTTGAAACACCGTTTGGCCCATGAGGAAGCAGATATTACTCAAGCAGCTGGGTTATGTCTGCATGCTCGCTTTTAATGAACATCCGTTGATCGTCTCAGTTTGAATGTAATTCAGCGCTCTGGTAAACATTCATACCAGCCTCAGGCTCTGTAAGTTAATACGTTAAGGAATGACTAGATCAGTGTTTGAGTTTTGACTACGAGGAAAGACTTTTTCCTATTACACTGCTAAAAATTACTTTTATTTTAAATATTCCTTGTAAAAGAGGGAACTCAAGGACAGTTATGAAGCAAGTATTTCCTTGTGCCAAAGTCGTTTGCGTAATGTCCTCTGTGTGTGTCCTCATAACCGGAGTGACCTCTGTACACTCTATGATTATGATCGATGAAAGGTTGTTACAAAAGCAGTGGCACAGTAGTGATGATTTAAACTTAATGGTAAATGCAGCATTAATAGTGCATTTCTAGCACATTTATCACACACATTGTCCACAAGTATTGCAATATGTTTTATTGTTGTGCATTTGACAAAAAAAAAACCTAATGAATTTGGTGCTGTTTCTATCATAAAGAATTAAGGATTACAGGGCTTGCAAAATTTCTAAATTCCTGGTAGCCCTGCGGGCTGGAATTCTTCAGATTTTGGTAGCCCAAAATGAATTTAACTATAGCTATAGCATGAATAAAAAAAGACGTCGGCTGAACTTCACTGCGGACAAATCAGCATGATCAAAAACTTGATTGTATAATTTCCTCAAATAACAAGAGAGTAGGTGTGCAACAGATCACAAAAATCAGGCTCGGATCATATTACAGATTTTAAGTGACAGATTGGATCATTTTTCGGGTGAGCAAAAAAATTGGTTCTTTACATCATTTAAAGAACACTACTTCGATACCACAGCAAAAACTATAGGGATGTAACGATTCACTCAACTCACAATGCGATACGATTCATGATACTAATTCTTCAGATTTTGGTAGCCCAAAATGAATTTAACTATAGCTATAGCATGAATAAAAAAAGACGTCGGCTGAACTTCACTGCGGACAAATCAGCATGATCAAAAACTTGATTGTATAATTTCCTCAAATAACAAGAGAGTAGGTGTGCAACAGATCACAAAAATCAGGCTCGGATCATATTACAGATTTTAAGTGACAGATTGGATCATTTTTCGGGTGAGCAAAAAAATTGGTTCTTTACATTATTTAAAGAACACTACTTCGATACCACAGCAAAAACTATAGGGATGTAACGATTCACTCAACTTACAATGCGATACGATTCATGATACTGTTTTCACGATACACTTTTCTCACAATTTTTTTTAACAAAATGAGATTTAAGACAAATTATAAATGAAAAGGTGTCCTTTTATTATTTATAGACAAAATGCTGCACATTTCTTTGTCAAATAATAAAACTAACTTGAAATTTTAAAACAAATCCCAAAATCAAATAAATAATACAAATAAAAGAGATGCATTGTCTGTGCTCTTTCCATTTAAAATCAGAGCCAACCACTCATTTTTAATTACAAACCAAACAAAGATGCTAAATACTTGTCGTTTAGATTGTAATTAGATCGTATAATTTCGAAATTTGAAGCAAAATAAGAATGGTCTGACTTTAGCTTTGTGAAACTATATGAAATAAAACATATGTGCATTAAACAAAAACAGCAGATGGGCTGAATGAGATGCGAATGTCACTGACAGCAGGTGGCGCTTATGGACCAGCAGAAGATGATTGTCGAGATGATAATTTTGTGTGTATTTGTCCTTTCACACGTGAAAGATGAATCAATCCTGTGTTTGTACCAACACAAAACCAAATTGTACCAAATTGAATATATTCTTTGAATAAGCGCTTGAATGTTTAAATCGGCAAGACTTAGAAACATGTGCAAATGATCAACTACGATCCATTTCACCCCTACAAGAGAGTGAACAACACGAATCAAGGAAGGAATTTTATATCACTATTTAAGATAGACCCGGGACGTCGGGCTAGTGATTGTCGAGCCTTGGATTAAAACAAAATGCAAACCACAAGTAGTATGCATGAGCTGTAAATTAGTGAAGCTAGAGAATTTTTCAAAACTTTACCACCATTCAAAATTTTGGGGTCGGTACTTGGTTTTTTTTTATTTATTTTTTTATTAATACTATTATTCAGCAAGGATCATTAAATTTATTAAAAGTGCCAGTAATGTTACAAAAGATTTCTATTTCAAATAAATGCTGTTCTTTTGTTTTGTTGTTTTATTCAGCAAAGAATCCTGAAAAAATGCATCACAGTTTCCACAAAAATATGAAGCAGCACAGTTGTTTTCAACATTGATGATAATCAGAAATGTTTCTTGAACAGCAAATCAGCATTTTAGAATGATTTCTGAAGGATCATGTGACGCTGAAGACTGGAGTAATGATGCTGAAAATTCAGCTTTGCATCACAGGAATAAATTACATTTTACAACAAATTCAAATAGCAAACAGTTTATTTAAATTGTAATAATATTTCAGATTATTCCTGTTTTTACTGTATTTTTGATCAAACAAATGCAGCCTTGTTGAGCATAAGAGACTTCTTTCAAAAACAAACCCCCCAAACTTTTGTATGGTAGTGTATGATTACCCAACTTCAACTTTGTACTTGGAAACTGACACTTTTGTAAAGCATTTTTGTGGCATGTCTTATGAAACTAAACTCAATCTGTTTGCCAAATATGCTGAAGTCACAGTTTGTGTTCTTGTTATAATTGTTTGTTTTAAATGGCAACATCCTCTGTGGTTTGAAACCAGCTGAGATGATGGTCAGTTCAACAAACATCCTCAGTGATATGGTTAGTATAAAAAAATTCAACAGTGTTGATGACCTGCTGTACGTGTTGTCACCCTAAACATCCGTCAGACTGAGATCGAGAACAGTAAATAGTCTCAGAAAGCAGGGTGAGGTGTGTGTCCTCTGAATGTGGAGGACACTCCATGACTTTCCTTGTGCCCAAGAAGGTTACTCCCAGAAATAATCCGTTACTAAACTGCCTTTTCATTTATTGTAATGGGATTAGAGTTCTAATTGAGCTGGCTGCACAGTAATCATATTCATTATTGCACATATCAGCCTTATAAAAGGGTAGACGTCAAAGTATCCTTTTAACAAGTCCCATTTTCACAGAATTAGGGATGGGCTTTCCTGCTTTATTACACATTACATGATCCAATGACAACCCAAGAGCACAGAGAGACGTGTGCAAGCTGAAATAAAAACTTACTGGCTTAATGTAAAAAGCCTAAAAACAAACAAACCATGTCAGGTGTTTCAGCAGATTTTCTTTTCACTAGGGAAAACGGCTCTTTATTAAAGAAAGGCATTTTAATAAGAATAATCATTGTATTATTAAAAACAGGATGGTCTGTCAAGTTACCATCTGGGATGGTACTCAAATGGTTCAGGTCATACTTAGAGGGGAGAGGTTATTAATTTAGTCAGTAAGAAATACCAAGGGTTCACACAAAACAAGGGGAGTCCGTTTTTAGCTATTTTGCCGCCCACAGTTGGAATCAGCTTCCAAAAGATCAGATGTGCTAAAGCATACACCGATCTGATCTTCAAGTGGAACACACCTCTTTACTCTCGCGTGTCACGTGACCGTGTAATCGCAGCCTCTGCGATTGAAAAATCGAAATTTTTCATATCGCGATATTATCGCAAATGCAATTAATCATTCAGCCCTACGTGTAACACCGACTCAATTCCATATGGGCATCTGTGTGCAAAACCTGAAACTCATCCGAAACGCATAATAACCCCTCCCTCTCTCTCTCTTTTTCTCCACCTCAGCCGAGAAGACTTCCAGAGGATTCCTGAGTTGGCCATAAATCCTCTTGGTGATCGGATAATTAATGCCTTCTTCCCAGAGGGGTGAGGAACATCTCATAAGACATTTGAAACATCAGAGTGATCTTTTATTACCACCACTATAGTATATTGTATACACACGGACACGGATTGGATTTAATACTTTTTTTCTGCTTGTACAAAGAACAACAAGTGTACAACAAGGTGCATAAATTGAAGAAAACTATGAAATATAAGTAAATGGAAAAGAAAGACAAATTTGGTAATATTAAAAGAAGAAATAGGTGTCTGCATTTCACACCAAAAGCCAAAAAAAAAAAAATTTAATCAGTTAAATTTTGGATTAATAAAATGAATCTTATTTTAACCTTTTTTTTTTTTTTGCATTGTGACATTGTTTTCATGACAAATAAGTTTTAATTATAAATACAGGTGCATCTCAATAAATTAGAATGTCGTGGAAAAGTTCATTTATTTCAGTAATTCAACTCAAATTGTGAAACTCGTG